AAATCCTGCTCTATCAAAAAGCCAAGGCAGTTTCTTTATTAACCAATGAAAGTAACACATAGATAGATGACCCTCCTCCATCAGTGCACCACCTGAATATGCTCTCCTAACCTTGCCATTCTCACAAAAATGGCTAATGCGATAAGGAAAACATGGGCCTTCCTTGTCCATGATGAGGTCACCTGAACTTAACTCCTTGAGCCTTTGGTAAGTGTCTGTATTTCATTCAATACTGTGTAAAGCGTGGATGAAACAGAAGAAATCATTTCAGCTCTGGTAGGCCTTCAGATCCAACAGCTGAAAATAGATGGTCTATGAAAATCAAAAGCAGGGCTCTACAGTTCAAGCTGTCTCCAGTGCTGTGGGAATCAGTGAGCTAACAAGTGGTGGTGGGTGAGGGAGGTAGGGAAGGGTCCAAGTCTAGTTTTCAGGACCCAGAAGGACATGAAGCTTTGAACTTGGTGGGCACTGTAGGCAGCCATTTGCACTCATGTAAGGAACACAAGCCCCCCCCCCCAGACACAAGCCTGCTGTGATCATAGAGACGTCTGCCCTGGAAAGTCATTGGTAAACCCAGAGGTGTCACAGCGCCATTAAACACTGGTATCTCGAAACTCCATAATTGGTCTAAGCCTAATTTTCTAGAAAGTTCAAAAAAGATGAGATGCTGAGATACTCAATAGTTAAGAGTGCTTACTGCCCTTGCAGAGGACTCGGGTTTAGCCCCCAGCACCCATGTGGTGGTTCACAATCACCTGCAACCCTAGTTCCAGGGATCCAGTGTTCTCTTATGGCCTCCACAGGCTCCTGCACACATATGCCACACATAAACTCATACAAGCACACACATACACATAAATAACACGAACAAACAAATCTTTTAAAAAATAATTTTTTAAAGCTAATTTGTGCCTGTCTGATATCTGTGAGCACTATCAACTTCTCCCAGGGCTTCTGCACTCTGCGCTGTCCACAGACTTGCAGACCTCTGCTGCATTTGTCCCCTCACAGTGGTGTGGAAAGAGAAGACAGTCCTCTCTGCTTGCTGGTCCACCCACTGCTGTAGTCTTCCCTTGTCCTCTCACCTGGAGCAAATCATTTACAAAGGAAGCCTTTGTCCCTTGGAATCAATGTAATAAACACAAACATGGGGGGGGGGGACAATGACAGTGCCCTACTATAAGATCAGCAGCAGCTACAATTTTGACTTTTTAAAGGGTTATTTGCCTAAAAACCACAACATTTGTAAAACAAAACAAAACAAAAAACTCAAAGGAAACCAGTGAACACTAAAACTATATCAGCAACTCATCATTCCTCAAATCCTGACTTCTGAGGACGTTCGTAATCCCAGATTCCTTGGTTTCCTCCCGACAAGTTCTGTTCCGCCACTGGGAACCCCTGTGACACCGGCAGCAATATCAGGCGCGCATGCTGGGGGTGAGGTGGGGGGGCGCAGCTCAAGAACAGCTTTAACTTAGCCCTTCATTATGAACTCAGCAACACCTGCCCCGGCCTCACTCTTTTGGTCCTTTGAAGCAAATATTACTGTTACTAATTTACAAATGAGATATTGGTAGTGAGGCAATGAGAGGCTGGATGGCCACGGTGCAGCTGCCTCGCGGTCCGGTTGGACCGGTTAGAGCAGCTTCTGCTTCACACACTTCTCTTTCTGTCGCTAGGAAACCTGTTGCGGTTTCAGTCCCAGAGAAGCGCATTTCACAGTTTACATGAAATCAAATGTCTGCCAACCAGAATAAGTCCTGTGATGAAAGTTGATTCCTGCATAAACCTCTTTGAGCTGCAAGCTCCTTGACACCCCTGGCCCTGTTGCTGTGAACTGGACCACTCGGGGGCTTGAGATCACCTTGGTCAGAGCTGGAAATTCGTAAAAGGGCAACCTGCTTTTGACCACGTGGTTTGGCTGGGTTAGAGGAAGGGCAAAGCAGAAGGAAAACATCCATGTTTCTTCCTGATGGCAACTCTGTGGAAAGATCCACAGAACCATCAATGCCTACAACACAGCAGCAACTTGAATTAGGAGCTCCAGCCAATTAACTCTCACTGGATTCCCTTTGCCACATTTGCCAGATTTCCAAATCTCCGTGGCCTCCCATCACATTGGACCATAGGTAGAACATTCTCTCAGCAAGTTCTACTAGACAGTCACATCCCGAATACCACCTCCCCAAATAATTTCCCTAGTCATTGGGCGAAGGCTTGACTTTGAAAAAAAGCTCAAATTCTTGTTATAAGCAGGGCTCCCTTGGGCCTATTGACAACTGTGCTTTGAGGTGACAGAAGAGATTTTACTACTTATTGACGTGAAGCAGGACTGGGAAGAATCCAGACTGAAAACTGACTTCCCAAGCTGGCAGACACAAACAAGCTGCATGTTAGATTCCTCCCTCCCTTCGGAGCACTCCTGCCCTCCCTCCACAAGGCAGCCATTTGTGCTGAGCACACACAGCCTCCCTGCCTGCCCAGCTCAGCCCTCTTGGGTTCCCTGTAGTATCGCCTGTTCATTTCTAAGGCACAGAGGCCGAGAAAGAACACTTTCTGAAAGAAGATTGCAAGGTACGGTGTTGTCCCCTCGTGAGGGCTCAGTGCTCTGCGACTCAACATTTCTCAGTATAATCTTCTGGGTTATGAATCTGACTGTAGTCCAGAATCAGAGTGTGGGCAGGAAATCAGTAAATGCATTGTTCCCTGAACCCCAGCTTCTCTCAGGAAACTCGGGAAGACACCCAGGAGAACTTGGAATCCCTTTCTCTCAGCACTTAGAGGCTCTGACCAGTTTCTCTGCAATCTTCGCCTATGTACTTCTTACCAAATATGGTAAGAGGGAGAGGCTGCCCCAAACCTTACTTTAAAAGAAGGAGAAAGACAAAGACCAAGAAGTAGGAGATTCACGTCTTAGCTCAAGCTTAGAGCAGTATAATGGGGCTCCATAAGCAAAATTAAATTTTCAGGAGCCATGTTTTAAAAGCCAAAGGAAGAGGAGAATTCGTTTGTAATTATATATTTTATTTAACCCCCAAATATCTAAAGCATCATTTGGAAATGTGATGAATACTTTTTAATTAGATGAGCTAGTTTACATTTTACGGTCCATATTGTCTTCAAAATCTGGTGTGTGTTTCAGACCTAGACCAGCAAATCCCACATGGGAGGAGCCTCAGGGCACTAGCGCTGCCATGGCCACATGGAAAAAGTGGCTACTGTCCTGGGCAGCACGTGTCTGCAGGAGTCTGGACCTTCGGCTCCTGTCTTCTGTGGATCTCAGAAGGGAATCTAGTTCACTTTCCACTTTGAAATTTGTTTTCTGTCAGATTGAATCTCATTTTAGCAACCTGACCCATTTTCAACATCTATAGGCTCCTTTGTATTTTCCCTCCATCCCTGTGGTATTTGAAAATGTTCCCAATGGCCATAATTATGTGAAGTGACACCCAAATCTCAATCCAGCCTCAGCTCAATGTCAATCTCCTCCAAATATCACGACTCCTTTTATCATTACATTATACTTCATTTCCAATCTGTACGCTGTGGTCTACTTTCAACCAATTTGCATTAGTTCTTAAGACAAGTCCTATGGACTGCCCCAGCAAACAACAAACTCCATGTTACCTGTACCCATCTTTCTCCCAAGACTAGCTCTGGGCCAATCTTAACCCCTTGTGACCCATCTGGGAGGAAAGTGAGGTGGGGGTGGGGATTCCCAGGAGGCTCAGGCGTTGAACTATCTTCCTGCCACCTTTGGAGAGAGACAAGCTCACTTCTTTCTCTCTTCAATCTGTGCCTGTGAAAGAAAACCACTCACAGGTAAATCCCACCTCCTCATTTCTCGAAGAGAGATGGGCAAAGGGCGGCGTCTTTTTGGAGCCAGCCCAAAAGCAGTCCAACATAATTTAATCGCAGACACCCCATCCCCAGCATGAAGAGCTCAGGTGATGTGGAAAGAGGGTCTTAGTTTTTAAATCTTCGATCACACGTGTATTTGCTCACCCTGTTGTTTTGTTTTCAGAGGAAGTCCTTATTTTAGAAAATGAGACTCTGCTGTTAGTGGCCAAATGTTTCCATTTTCAAAGGCCCAGTGGCAGATGCTCCAGAAGAGGAAGGTATATCTTGGTCTAGGTGCCAGGACGTGGCTTCCCAGGTGGACAGGAGTTTCCTGAGGGCTTCCTCAGACCACAAAGTGTGAGGAGCCTGGCATTCTCTGAACCAGCCGTCCTGATGGACTCTGAGCTCAGCAGACCTGAAATGGCCAGCTAAAGAAGGAAGCCTGACATTGATTGGTCCTGGGGTGCCAGGGCATTTCAGCCTGTACTACCTGGAATTCTTTGGCGTCGCTGGGAAAATGTCTCCTCCCACCAGACCAGCCCCATCAGTCCCTTTGATCACTGTGGAGACTTCACCATGCCCTGACCGGAATATTTTTCTAAGTGCCCAAATCGTGAATCCTAACTTCCTAGTACAACTTATAAATATCTCCTCACTTTCTGAGACTATCAGCCTTAAATCCCCCATAGACGTTGGTACTTTGCCTCATTCATAAATAAATGTCTTGAACAAGTGAATGTTGGTCAAAAATAACGATGAGAAATAAGCCCCGTGGCCATTCTTATCGTCTGCCTAGGCACCTGGAGCCAAAACCTCTGCCTGAGTTCTTATGAGGAACGTAGTTCCCACAGCCGCAAGAGGACTGGGCAAAGGACACCGCTCAGATCATGCAGTTCAAAGCCAGGTCAATGAGAATGCTGGGGTTGTTTTATTGTTTTGTTTTGTCTTTTTTTAAAAAAAATGCAGGCTGGAGAGAGCTGGTAAGAGCACGTGCTGCTCCTGCAGAGGACCTGGGTTCGATTCCCAGCACCCACACTGTGGTTCGCACCTGTCTCTAACTCCAGCTCCAGGAGACGACACCCTCCGACCTCTGTGAACATGATCCACGTGTGGCACACATGTATGCAGACCAGATAGTCATACGCATAAACTCAAAATTCATTTTCAAACTTCCATTTATAATCAAGTTACAAGCTGTTTACCTTGGATCTGTCACAGAGAAATGGAAGAGGAGGGTAGAAGAAATGAAGTTTGAAAAGCAGTCGCCTTTCATTCACTAACTAAACACAGACATACACACACACACACACACACACACACACACACAGGAGAAGGGAAGGGAGGGAGGGAGGGAGGAAAGGAACTGTTCTTAGACAGTCTTTGCTAGGACGCTGAAGCTCTCTAGGCTTCGGTAGCTCAGGACATTAAAGTAGTCACGTGGTTCAGCATAGTCATCTTCCTCTCCACAGAGACCAGCAGGGGCAGCTTCTGTCTGGACGGGGCCTCCAGGGGCCGAGAGACACATAAGGCTCGCTTCCTGTGGCTCAGCTGCCGTTCTCCCAAGGCCACTTCCCATAGAATGGATTCTGGGAGACTTCTGGAGTAAATACAAAGGGATGTTACGCAAATGCTGCTTCACAAATGGACAAATGGCACATCGTCAAACACCTCTTCCTCCCTTACATGAACACACACACATACATACACATACACACACATACATACACACACATACACACACATGCACACACATATACACACAGACATACACACACATACACACAGACATGCACACACATGCACACACATATACACACAGACATACACACACATACATACACACACATACACACACATGCACACACATATACACACACATACACACACATACACACACAGACATGCACAGGAGCAAACTTGGGTTTTCGTTTTTTTAGTTTTTCGAGACAGGGTTTCTCTGTGTAGCCTTGGCTGTCTTGGAACTCACTCTGTAGACCAAGCTGAGATCACAGAGATCCACCTGCCTCTGCCTCCCAAGTGCTGGGAGTAAAGGCGTGTGCCATCACCACCCAGCCAGCAAACTTGTGCTCTTATCGGCACACAATCCTTAGCCTTTAGCCCTTAACTTCCCTGCTTTGTTGTAGCTTTTTTCCTGATTAGTTTTTTTTTAAATTATCATACAATTTATTTTGATCCTATTCTGTCCCCTCCCCCGGCTCCTTCCCGATCTTCCCCATTCCCTACCCAATCAACTGCTTGTTTCTTCTTTGTCAAAATAATCAAACAAAAGCATTAAGACATTCCAAACTCAAACAAAAAGCAAGCAAAAACCATAGAACTCATTTTATGTTGGCCAACTCCACCTGGACATGGGTCCTGCCTTGAAGTGTAGTTGACATATATTCCCAGTGTCACTCAGTGGGAGCAGACAGCTTCTTTAGGGGTGGGGCTTTGTGTCCCCTTCCCCTTCCCGTCCTAACTTGGTTTCAACAGGAACAGCTGTAGTGAATGCCATCCTGCAGCCCCTATTTCCCGCTCTCCTAACCTGGAGCGCTGCCTTGCTCACTTTCCCGCTCCTTACTGTTTGTTTCTTCCTTCTCTTTGGTCTCTGCGCCACCAGCTCTCCTCCCTCTTCTCTTCCTTTTGGCCCCCATCTTCAGCCAGCCTGGCGCCTGCTCTTTATAAACTGACTCTCCAAGCCAGGGGCCTCCCCAGGATTCTGCCCCCTGGCTTTCTCACTCCCAGACTCCCAACAGGATCTGTCCTCTAAAGATCCAAGTGACCCAAGACCCTAAGCAGCCCAGGGTCTGTCCTGGGCTTCAGCCCACCTGCCCACCGACTCAGCATGGCCCATGAGAGAATTATAGCAAGCCTGAACTCAGCTTGTCTCCGCGGCCCTGCCCCACAACTCCTGCCCCATAATCTACTCCTGCCAACATTCTCCCTTCCTGGCTAACAGCACAGCCCCTTCAGAAACATGGATGCCAATACCAAGTTCCAGCTGCCCATAACACCTGTGACAGCTAGTCTTCGCTGTCAACTTGACTACATCTGGAATTAACTAAAACTCAAGTGACTGGATATACGTGTGAGGGAATTTCCTTAATTAAATCATTTAAAGTGGGAAGACCCACATTTAAATCTGGGTATTTTGAGGCAGAAAGTTTCCGCATTTCCTCTGGGCCTCACCTTCTGGTGAGAGCCTATATAAAGGGCATGGAAGAAGGAAGCTTACTCTCTTTGTCTGCTTGATCTTCCTCCTGCTGGAAAGTCCATTCCTTCCTTGACCTAAGAGCTGCTTTGGGATTCTATACACTGAAGCTGAAACATCCAACCTTGTGGACTGAACAACTGCATTTTTGGATTTTCCTTGGTAGGCCACCATTGCTGGACTAGCTGGACCACAACCTATAAGTTACTCCAATAAATATAAATATATATTATATATAAACCCATATATGTGCATATATACAATTTTTATATGCACAAATACCTATATTTATAAATTACATATATGTACATATACACATAAGTACTGTTCCTCTAGAGACCCCTGGTTATTACACACCCACCTAGTTTTACTCTATCCCTTCTTCATGGCACCCTCACCAGCGAAGGGGAAGAAATAGTCCTCTTCATTTTGGTCTGGCTCACATTTCCTCTATCTGCTAGACTAACTTTCCACAAAGATTTTTCAAAAATAAAAATTGAATCTGATCATACTTCTGCTTAAAACCCTTTAATGGCCTCTACTGTACACCAGAGGGATGCTCAACCTAGAATGAGCTATGATAAACATCTTAGGGGGGATTTGACTTCAGGTGATTTATGAATGATCTCAAATTATAATTAAATTTTATATAAAGGCATATTCTTGCGGGGAGCAAATCAGTACTTCATTCCCTTTCCCAAAGGAGTCTGTGATAGCCCAGACGGTGAGCCCCAGTCATGTCCATCTCCCTGGCTGCAGCTTCCCCGCACTGTGTTTCACAACCCAGACACCCAGCATCTGAGGCCCAGAGAGCTGCCACTCATCCCAACACTGCCGAGAGAACCCAGTGAGCACACTCATCTCCACAACAACTCTGCTGATGTGTCTGGTTTGGGATGAGCTGAGAGGCGTGGGCGGAAGCCCCTGAGCCAAGGACACCACCACAAGTTGCTCAGCTTTGTCTCCCTCTACCTACACTCTCCTTTGACCACAGTGCCTCTGCTCTTGCACCTTCTCTGTGAAGGCCAATTGGTTTGTCTTTCTGTTTTCACTAGACTCAGAAATCCAAGTTCCCTAAGGTAAGCACTATGTTCCTCTTTGTAACTCAGAACCCATATCAGGTGTTCAGTCTCTATCTGTCTTGGGACTGGAATAGACATGCGTATCCAGTTGGACACACACACATTCATTTATGATACAGTCCCATAGAAAAGAATCTGATTTTCCAAGTCAAGGTATCATCCAACACCCGGGAAACTAAAGTTGCATTCGTTGAGACCAGACAGCAACTAAGTCTGTTCAGTAACATCAACCATAGAATACATGCTAGAATGTCACACTTGAGGGTTGTAATAGTACAGGGAAGCTGGAGAACATCAGTTAGAAGTAGGGTGACAGAAGAAGTGCTTCATCACATTTCAAAAGTGACCCACCTTCTGTATCTAAATGACAAAATCACAGAGATCCAGGGACTTGGAAAACAGGAGCAACCAAGCTCATGGAATCTCTCTTCACACCCATGGCTTCCAAGACAGAAAATGCCACCCAACAGGTGCCAAGCCCAAATGTACACCAGATTAGGCAAGGAGATATAGAAGGAAGGTCAGAAGGACCCTGTAGATGTGTTCAGTGAACAGATGCCAAAAACTAAGGACGCTGCATCACTACAGGCCTTAAGGAGTTGGGCATTGAGAGATGCCGTAGTCTTAGAATAACAAACACGTGTCACTGGTCTCCTCTGACCATTCCTCCTCAGTAGAGGTGGCTAAACTTTAGCATGAGTGTAAAGAAGGGAATGGCTGTCATGACTCGTGCTGGTACTGTGTTTAAAAGGACTCTGACATCCCTTGATACGATACAACCCATTTTTAATATGAATACTCAATTATTTCTCAAAGAGCTAATTATGACTTTTTGTGCTTGTGTGTTCTTATTCTCATTCTTGGTAAGGCTGGCCACTCTCTCTTTTTAATTTTAAGACTATTTTGAGCTCTAAAAGTCCTCTGGGAAATGCAAATATTCCTGAGACGGGTCCCTAAGCTGTCCCATTTCCATTCTATCCTACATGGAGACTCTATAATTGTAACCAGCATAAAAAAAAATAGGTCTGAGATTAATGTACTAACATTGTCCTAGAGAACCAAGTGAAACTACAGAAATTGCAACTGAGTCCTCTTGGGACAAACATTGCTTTCTAGTAACATGTGAGGAGAATTAACATTGGACAGTGGGGTTGGCAGAGTCATTGTCCGGTGTCTGACATACTTGTCACCATATCTGTTTGACAAATAGCATCTATTCATATAATGCATATACATGTATAATAAGCACTTGCTCATACTATCTTAAGATGTGCTCAAAATATCTCCAGAAGACATGGTGTTCATGTTGAGCTTTCTTCCCTCCAACCTCAGCACAATAGGTGTTTTCTACATCTGTCCTAGAGAAGTCAACATGATAGCATGATGGAGTTCTGAAAAGTGCAGGGATGATCAAACTCACTCCTATCACCAGCCCTGTCCTTATAGGCTGCCTTTAGCATCATCCTCAGCAGCCATTAGTTTAGAGCAGGTCCCCAGAATAGAGGCAGACATGTTAATTGTGGTGCAAGTGACCTGGATTCTCAGAGGAGGGCTTAATGAGGGAGCCTAGAGGCAAGGGAATGCAAGGCTAGCACCAGCATTACTGGCTTCCATGGTGTCTCTCCTCCACAGACTGATGTTGAAGTAGGAGATGCTTCTGCAGAATGGGATCCCTAGCAACAGCCAGGAGAGGGGACCTCAAAATAGTAGAAAAAAGCTGATAGTATTTAAGAAACACAGTAAATATAGCTACAATGATGGAAACTAAGAGCGCCTGTCCCGTGGGCATCTTAAAATGGCTCATACAGCTCAGCAATCCTAGGGCTGTAGAGACAGAACCTACTGGTGTGGAATGTCCTTCGGTACGTGTGCTGCTTTTATTGGTTGATGACTAAAGCTGTTTCGGCCAATGGCTTAGCAGAGTAAAACCAGGCAAGAAATGGAGAGAGAGAGAGAGAGAGAGAGAGAGAGAGAGAGAGAGAGAGAGAAGACAGTATAGCTGCCAAAGGAGACAGACACCAGAACAGAACCTTACCCAGTAAGCCAAAGTCTTATGATGATACATAAATTTTTGCCAGATGCAAATATACAAATATGTAAATAATTACAAACTGTAACTGCAATTCTTGCTTGATACCTGTTTCGTATATGTATTTTACTATGTTAAAACCTTCCTTTTTAATTAGACAAAAAGGGGAAGATGATGTGGAATGTCCTTCTGTATATGTATTGTTTTTATTGGTTGATGAATAAAGCTGTTTTGGCCAATGGCTTAGCAAAGCAAAACCAGGCAAGAAATCTGAA